CACCTGCTGTTGAGGCTGACATTTATGCTGACCTTTTGGCCTGGCATCTGCCCCTATCATTATGTGTGATGCTTCAAACTTGAGATTTAATCCATAGAGCAAAGAATTCCTCTGGCTGGACTCCCAGACACAGTTCCTCAAGAGTGGGACAGAAACTTAGTGTTTGGCTTCTTTCGGACGTTTTCAGAGGTCACTTTGTCTCACCTCTGCCCCTCATTTAGTTTCGAATTTGTGTGGTCAGATTGGTCATATCAGCTGTCCTTATGGAAGTCCCAGCCTCATAGATGAGGAACTCACAGGGGGTGGAGATAGCCCACACAATGGTGAGAAGATCCAGACTCCATTTCCTTCCAGAATGGGAACTTGGTTTCTTTGCATTTGATTGGATAGCTCTTTAAATGCAGTTGTGATTGTAGAGTGGCATTTGAAGAACTTAGGAGAAATGAAAAAAAAATTTTTTCTTGCAAGATTCTGGCCCCAGACAGCCAAGTTAAGAAGTGCTTTTTCTCAAAAATGGAACTACAAAGGCAGGAGGAGATGATATGTTGTGGACAGAGCTGGGGTGGAGGGTGGTAATATAAAATGACCTTAACCACAAGGTTAGTTCTTACTCAGACATAGTCCTGGGAACCATCCTACATGGTAGATTTGAGGAGCACTGAAGAATCTATCAGTGCATCTAAATCCCTTCTTTTGTTCAGTCCTTTGAGATTTATATTGAAGTTGAGTATTAAAATGTTTGCAAAAATACCTTATTTATTTGCCCTTCTCTTTCGAATAGAGCTTCCTTTGCTATAAGCCAATTTTCCAGATCACCATTGTTTATTTTATTTTATTTTTTTTATTTTTTTAATAAAATATATTTTATTGATTTTGTACAGAGAGAAAGGGAGAGGGATAGAGAGTTAGAAACATCGATGAGAGAGAGTCATCGATCAGCTGCCTCTTGCACACCCCCTACTGGGGATATGCCCGCAACTAAGGTACATGCCCTTGACCGGAATCGAACCCGGGACCTTTCAGTCCCCAAGCCGACACTCTGTCAACTGAGCCAAACCGGTTTCGGCACCATTGTTTATTTTGTTAGTCATATATTTTATAAACCTAAGCTTATTAATGGAAAGGGGAAATCTCTCCCAAATGCATGGTAGCCATCACTGCTTCTTGAACACATTGATGGTAGTATAACTTTTGATTATTTAGATGCCTGTTTCTGAATATTTTTATTGTATTATTACCGTAACGTCTTGATATTCTTGCACTGTTAAGGTACATTTGCTTTTCTAGCCAGAGCTCTCTTGTGAGTTGGGTTTTCAAATTTTTAATGGTTGTCTCCTGCAGGATCTTGGTGCCACTTGTGCTGCAGTGTTTACCACTTACTTTCCCTTTTTGTCTGGTGCCTCTCTCTTGCTATTGGTTTACTTGTTAAAATGAGGGTAAAATAAGAGTAATTAACTTAGTGAGGGTTTAGAGACCCTTCTTTGAATCAAGTGCACAGACCTTTATTATCTATCTTTAATTATTTTATTTACTTCTGTATAACTAAATAAAACTCCACATAGTTGCAAGATAATGCTGTACTTATAAGCTTCTCTTTCAGAATAATCCTAAGCCATTCTTTATCCCATTGCATCAGTCAAGTTTGTTGACCAGATTAACTTGTATGTATGATAGAAATTATCTGCAAATCATATGGAAGAGCTAAGATATTAAACTCTTAAGAAAATTACAGTGTATTCTTATTTCTAAAATGTGGCAAATAAAAAAGTAACTCCAAATCAACATGGTAAACTGTGTCCCATGGGTAATTAATATTACTTTCAATTAATTCTGAGGTGGACATTCACTTTTTCCCCTTTTTCAAGATGGACATAGTTTTGTAAAGGTCTCCCTCTAGCCTTTCTTCTCATTATATAGAAATGGAGAATTCAGACATTTCAGAAAGATAGAAAAAAAACCCCAAAATCATCTGAAACACTGTTCTTGAAGCTATGTACCCTGTATTTTGTTATTGTGTCCTTTTTACTTTCTATATCTTTGTAGGTAAAAATAGAACTGCACTATCATTTTCAGTTGTTTTTTGAAGAGCAAAAGTTTTTAATTTTGTTGAAGTCATGTGTATCTGCAGGTTTTTGTAGCCATAATTTACCAAACCCAAGAGTTTTTCCCCGTTTTTTTTTTTTTTTCCAATAAATTTGTAGGTTTGAATGTTACATTTAGGACTATGATTTATTTGGATTTAATTTTTGAATATGGTATAAGATAAGGCTTAAGATTCAGTTTAAATAGCACTTTGATGTATGTTCTTGTTTATATCTTTTCTCATTCTACTTATTTAATTATAAGTTCTTAAAAGTGTAAAACTAAACTCACGCTGAAATCTTTGATATATGTTGCCAGACTGGTTTTCAAAAGTTTGAAAAGACCACCCCAAGAATGGGAGAAAATATTTGCAATTCATATATCTAATAAGGGATGTGTATCTAGAATATATAAAGTTTATACAACTCAGGAAAAAAAACACCGAAGTTAAAAATTAGCAAATGTCTTGAATAGACATTTCTCCAAAGATGTAAAGATGACCCATAAACACATGAAAAGATACTTAACATTATTAATCAGTGATAGATCCTCCCTTCCTCCAATTGATGGACAGACGTAAACTCCACCTGCAGCCAGATATTCCTGAGCACTGAACCACCAATCAGCACCTGCCAAATACCCTAAGGCCCCATTCCTAAGTCCCTAGGTCCCTAATCATAGGCCTTACATGAAACCACCAATTAGCGTGTGCTGAGTGCCCTAAGCCCCGTCCCCTCTCCTCCCCTTAAAAAGTGCTTGTACCCCGGCCCTCGCTCTCTTCCTCGCTCTATCTCTCTCTGGAAGCAGCCGGCAGTGGTACTCTTCTCTTCAATAAAGCCTGTGTCCTGGCATCCCGGTCTCCGGCCCTCTCTATTTCATCTTTCAAACTGGTGCCTCAGACCCGGGTGAACGTGGACTCGATCCTCTGGCTCTGCTCGGTGGCATGGTCCTGAGTTGATTGGCCCGTTCAGGATACCTCTCGAACCCTGCCATACCAGGACACTTGGAATTTTGTCGCTTTCTTACCAGTAGGCCTCAGGGACCTTCCTGAAACCCCATCCCCACCCCCACCCCCATCTATTTCATCTTTCAATCATTAGGGAGATGAAAATCAAAATCATGGATTCACACCAATTAGCATGTGATAAGTGTTGGCAAAGATGTGGAGAGCTTGGAACTCTGGGAATGTAAAATGCGGTAGATGGTATGGAAAACACTTTGGTAGTTCCTTAAAAAGTTAAATATAGTCCCTTCTGAGTGGTTCAGCTAGTTGGAGTGTCACTCCATGTACCAGAAGGGTTGCGGGTTTGATTTCCAGTCAGGGCACATACCTAGGCTGCAGGTTCAATCCCAGGTCAGGGTGGATACAGGAAGCAACTGATCAATGTTTCTCTAATCAATGCTTTTTCCCTCTCGCTCTCTCAAATCAATTTAAACACACAAAACACACACACACACACACACACACACACACACACATAACCTTGGGTGAGAATTTTAAAAAAGTTGAAGACAGCATGACCTTTATTCCTGAAAATAAAGGTATACCCTTTTATAACCATTGCCATTTTATGCCAAAGAAAATATTAGTTCATATATTGTACAGCCTACATTAAAGTTAGTCCCATTTTCTCAAAACTGTCTTTTGTAACTAGTGTTTATGAATCAGCACTCAGTCAAGACTTTCATTTTGCATTTGGCTTTGATCTCTTTAGTATTTTTTAATCTAGAATAATCCCTCTGCTTTTCCCCCTTGGCAATGACTTTGTGAAGCAGCCAGTCCAGCTGTCTGAAGAATGCCCCATGTACTGCATTATTTTCTTGTTGTGTTGTTTAGCAGGTTGCTCTGTCCCCCGGATTTCCTGTAAACCCGTGTTAGGCTCCAGAGTCTTGATACATTTAGGTTCAATGTTTTTGGTGAGTGTGCTTCACAGATAGTCCCTTAAAGGTGCAAATGTCACCTTTGATCATTTGCTTCGCTGTCTTCATTGTAAAGACATGCTTTTCTCTCTGCCATTAGTAAGTGGGGAGCGTAACTAATTCTGTAGAACTCCTTAAACATTAATGTTTTTTCACCATCTCCCTCAGTTTGGCAATTATCTTGTAACTTCCCTTATTGATTTTTTTTATTTAGAAGAGTTTTTCATTTTTATGTAGTTGAACCACCAATAGTATATAAAAGCTATCTTTCCAAAACTTCCCTTTTCTAAGTCCTGTCCCCTTCTTTTCTTCGTTTCTTCTTTCTTGTTCGGCTTGACTTCAGAAATGGGTGCAACAAGCTAGCTCTTCCTCCTATTCTATCATCTTTTTGGTCTGCACATTCAAAAATTACATTGACACTAAATATGAGCAATGCATGAACTCATAGCTCTCTCTTCTGTTCCCCAGAATCAGCTACTGCTGCTGACCCCCTGCAGTGGCAAGGAACAGGCAGCAGTGAGGTTGAGACTTTGATCCTTAAGGCTCTAATCAGTGGCTCTTACCTTATCATCTCTTATCAAAGCTAAGGATGCAGTAGGGAGGGGACCCAGAAGCCAAACTGCTGGTATTTTGAGAAAGACCTCTTATTCCTTCTGCTTAGAACCCTTTTCTCCACATTTCCTTTCCCTGGTTAGCTCAACCTTCCTACTTGAAGAAGACATCCTGGTTTGTGTGCCCATCCGTGTTTCCACATGTGCGTTTCCATACACTTCATGGGATCCTAGAGGTTCTATATTTCCCATTAGCTTGTGAGGTCCCGAGGTCAAGAGCTGAGACTGGCTTTGTCACCCAATCTTCAGGGAAGAGCCTGACACATCGCACTGAGGTGAATGTTGCTGGGAGTTTCACCTCCTGGCCTGCAGGTGATTTCTTCCCTATGGATGGATGCATTTGCTTCCTGGTTGGGAAAGCAAGGTGTGACTGCAGGCTCTACACATTTGTACCTTATAAAGAGCTGAGGAATGTAAAAGTTTTGATCTTTTTGTTTGTTCTAACTGCCTCAATGTGGGATTCTTAGCATTTTCTAGAGTAACTATTTCTCATTATTTATTCTTATAAAGTCATAGAATTATGGACTTTGAGCTGGAAAGAGCCGTAGCAATAAGCTACACTATGTGAGTCCACCAGCCTTTGCACTTCCTCCTGGAGGCTGCAGGGTTTAGAACATTTCAGCAATCCTCCAGGCTTCCTGCTTTCCCCGCCCTCTTCTGGGTGTTCCAGCTCTATCTCAGTGCTTGATAAGGGACATTATGGAGAAGTGCACCCGTTGTGGGAGGTGAATAATCAGTCCCCAGCTGCATTGTCTTGCTGAGGGCACTTTGTGGGGTAAGGAGACTGCTAGTGCAGGTAATAGGCGACCATAAAACCCCCAACTCCCATTCCTGTTGAAGAACTAATAGGCTTTTCTACTAGCTAGATACTCATCTGTGGTGGAGAGTGAAATGTGCTAGTAAAAAAAAGAAAGATGATTGTATCTGTGCAGATAGGAGTGGGATTTGATTGCTGTCATTGAAAAACATATCTAATCTCCAAATGGTAGTTCTCTCCTGCTCCCAAGGACCTTTCTTGAGTCATCACTCGCCCAAACAGTCACTGGGAGACTAGGCTGCTGTGGCCTCGAGGCCTGTAATTGCACTTTATCACAGCACAGAGAGTCAGAGCAGTTCTGAGCGTCATGGAAACGTCAGCTGAATGCACAAATCTCTTTTATTGAGACCCTCCTGTGTTCCAGACACCATTAGTTCATTCTAAATATCTTGTTTCATTTAATTATCGCCTCTGCTCTGTGAGATAGGTTATCTCGCTCCCCGCCCCCCCCTCTCCCACTCCTCCAATGAAGTTCTGAAAGGCCAGATATCTACTCAAAGCCATATCGTAGGCAGGTGGGGACACCCTCATTTCTTCCCCTCTCCCATGGCCAGCAGCCGGTAACAGTGATTATGAAAGCCGCCTCTGATTAGAAAAGCTGCTCTTGAACTTCAGTCAGCCCTCACTGAAGGCACCCTGTTCCCCCCGTGGAGGGCCTGGCCTGAGGTTCTGGTGATAGATGAATTTTTATGACATGAGGACCGGCGCCGTGGACAGGATCAGATTTCCTCAGTGAAATCGTGACTTGAGAGCAATCAGATGTTAGCCATTCTTCCTTATGTCAGGAAAGTGGAGCAGGCCCTCCCAATAGCATAAAGACTCGGAAACTCTATAGTTTAAACAACAGTTAAAGTGGTTGGCTTCAAGTTTTGTTCATAAGTACCTCTCTCCCTACTCTCCTCCCCCCCCCCAGAAAGCACATTGGTCCCCAAACGATTGCAGGATAAGGAAGTACAAAATCTCCTTCCGTTTGGTTCAGTCTTTCATTCCAGCCCACTGGTTGGTTTTGTCTGTGAATGTGGAGGGGAAACCCCAGCACATCGGGGACTGCAGTTTGGAGGAAATACATGTCCATCACTTTCTGTGATGGCTTTTTCCCTGCTCTGCAGTCTGTTAAGTTATTTGTACCTTAGATATTGTCATTGTATTTTTGTCTATTTTCCCAGGAGGCCTTGAAGCAAGGGTGATGAACAAGATATGCTACCTGACCATAGTTTTTAAAGGCGTGTGTACCCTTTCATGGTGCGATAAGAGCACACTTTTCTTTTTAGGCGTTTGCTGCAGCAGTCAGGATGCAGCCGGGTGAGTGAGGCCTGTGATCATAAACTGAAACTTCACCTTCCACCCCTGTGTTAAGTTTGAGTTTGTGAATAACAAATTATTATTTTTGACAGAAAGGACATAGTGAAAATAAGTATATCACAAAGAAAAAAATATAGGTGTTTTGAATCTGATAAAGATGTAATATGTTCATATATCTGAGGAGACAGTGTCAGCAGTAGGGGGCGCTCATCTCGGTGGGGGTCAGTGTAGATTTACAGTGTTTCCGAAATAGTGACCCATCTGACAGAGATGATCTGGCCTCTGATGTAGTGGGTTGGTCTCCCGCTCTCCTGCCCACCCAAACTCCTGCTACTTGGAAGGTTAACAGCAGGCATGGGGAGAGGACGGAGAGATGGAGAGGTTTAGGCTGACAGCTGATTCTCAGTAGCAGATGGGAGGGAAATTATCTTTAGCAGGCAAAGGTAAAGCAGATTTTATTTTTGAATTTTTATTATGTGAGGAGTGTTGCACAAAGTTTTTTATTGGTTTGCATGCTTTTTAAAATCCCCTCCTCAGAGATAAGTCAGAAGTCTGTGGTTGTGTTGGGGTTTTACAGATCCTTTTCTTCTTTCTTACATTGAATGGCAGCTGTTATTACCCCACATGCCTACCTACTTTGGGGATCCTCTCGTTTGTATCCTTTAGTGCCAGCATCTCCCTTTCTGGAAGTTGGGAGCTTAGAACTGAGAAGGAAGTTGGGCTACTCTACTTTCTCACCCTCCCCCCCCTAAAAAAGGGGAAACTGAGAGCCAGGGAGAGGAAATGACTTGCTGAGCAGAGATGGTATCCCACTTAAAGTCTCACTGCTATTTTGCATCAAAGCTTGGTCTGCAGTGCTGGATCCTGACTCCTGGTTTAGTCTTGCTCCGTTTGTAATATATGTACTCCTCCTCTTCATCCGGAGGATTCCTTTGTGTTCTCTAAAATAGAGCAAATCTGGAAAAGCTGACAATCAGTTAATTTACAAAGATGTGTTATCTGATTTTTAAATGGTGAGGGGAGGGGAAGGAAGGTGGGATGGGAAAGAACATAAACCTAGATCAAACAAACAAGAACACATCCATGTGAGTGTGTGAGGTTCAGGCAGAGAACGGAGCGTGCTCTGACAGAGAGGACCGCTTGGAAGTATTGGGCGCAGGACAGTAAGGGAAGCGTGGGCAAGGCCAGGGAGCAGGGGCTGTTCTGGCCAAGCGTGGGGCCCTGTGAGCAGTAGGAAGACAGTGTAGTTTCATTCGGAGTTCGTTGTATACATACTCTGGTGGTATGTGTTGGGCACTGTTTGTATTGGCGAACAGAACAGTAATGGTCACTCCTCCATGGAAAATGCAGTCTGATTGTGGAGACTGCCGGCAGACACATAACTAGGTAACTGCAGATTGTGGTAGGTACAGGGTGTTGTGAGAGGGCAGAGTGAAATCATTTACCTTGAGAGCGATCCGCAGGGCTCCGGCAGGAAGGTAAGATGTGGAAGATGAAGACATTAGACAAGTGAAGGAGGGTATATCAAAACCAATGTGGACAGCATGGGGTGGGGAGACTCTACTTTGGGGAATATTTAGGGGTTCTATTCTGACTATGAGCAGGGGAACCTCCAAAGGAGTTCCAGCTAGGGCGATGTGAACTGGCAAGCGTTGTCAAGGGCATTCCGGCTTGCTGGGTGGGAAGGAGGGGAGAGAGGAGAAGCTCAGAGAGTAGTAATTCGGGCAGCTAATGTGCAAGCCCGGAGGACACACGTGGAAGGGAGCAGCACCAGTCCCGAGGACACCAGAGATAGAGGCTGAGGGAAGGAGGCGGGAAAGGTGGTGAAGGAGAGACTCAACAGGAGCAGCTGGAGTGACCAGAAGGCCGGAGTGTCCGGAGAAGGCCTGGGTGGGGTGAGGCAAGGGGGCCAAGGAGCAACGTCAGATGTCGCAGGGAGCTCTGGTCAGATGAGGCCGGAAAGTGACGGTTGGATTTGACAGTGTGGACGTTATCAGCGTCCTTGGCGGGAGCAGTTTTGTTGGCTTATTGAGGCAGCAACCAGGATCCACCCAATGTCTCACTTTCACATCTGCTCACGTGCCCCTTGGTCCATCCAGCTCCCTCTCCACCTGCTCCTGCTCCGTACCACTGAGTGCTTCTGACACAGCACATACTTGGCTGTCTGTCCACAGGACATAAGCTCCATAAGGTAGAGACTTGGTTTTGTTCACTGCTCTATTCTTAGCACCGAGAACAGTGCTAAATAAGTGAGTTGAGTAGACGAATCAGGATCGTGTCATGGGGAAAGTCATGGCCACAGTATTCATGCTTTGCGTAGCTATATCAACCCATTTCTTTTGTCAAGCACCACTGAACACAGGGCATAGGTGCTACATAGTACAGTATTAACGGCGGGCTCCAGCTCCTGGCCCCAGAAAGGTTAGAATTTGGTAGTTGTACTTATACTAACTTCAGTTAACTTACCCTCCTGTCACTGTGACCATAGTTATTGTCAGGGTTAAGGTTTGGGGCTTCATGCTCAACAGAGAACAGATTCCGTGGGTTTTCTTTATTAGTCAAAGCTGACTTTTTACAAAGGAGCCAGTGCTTTTAAACCTATTTATAGCTCTTGGCTACCTGGAGAGTGTTACCTTATCCTTTGAAAAGCATCAGACAGCTTCAGATTTCTCTGCCTTTTAAGTAAGTGATGTAGCTGGCAGTGCCTTGAAAATGACTAATGATGGTGACAATAACACTTGTTTCTTGCCAGATTTCATAGGAACTCAGAAACATTTGCAAACATGCTCTATGTCTACTAGTATCACTCCTCTGGTAGCAGTTTCTGTAGTCCTGGCTCAAATGTGCATTGTGTCCCAGACCTCTGTTATTTTCCTCTTTAAGCCCGATGTCTGAAATGGGGTGGGGTGTTTTTAATCTTTATGTAAAAGTCTTAGCCTTGGTGAATATTTGAATCTAATTACTTTCCCCATGGGAGGATGGAAGTGCGAGGGAAGGCTGTGCTCTTGGAGGTAGTTATTCCTAGTACTGATGTGATGGCAATGTCTCACTTGTGCCTGTGGCTTAGCCACTTTATCAGGTGAGGAAGGCAGTTACTCTATCATTTGGGTGGGGCTGTGTTGAATATAATAAAATGTGGATGGTGCTTGTGTTTGCACATGTAACTGTGTGCATTTATTTTTCTTGCTGGTTTCTCTTCCTGTATTTTATTTTTACATTATTTTTCAATGTTAATGAAAGTATTAAGATTAGAAATGAGAAGGGACATATGTGGAGAAGCTTATGGAACACCACACAGCTTTAGGTTCCTCTGAAGTAAGTTAAGTAGCTTGAATAAGTGGAGAAGCATACACTGACCTAGGATGATAATGACCCAGTTGGATGGGTCCATGTTGCCCACATTAATTTATGAATTAAGTGCAATCCCAGTCAAAACACTAAAATGGTTTTCTTTTGAGATTTTACAACATGATCATAAAGTTCCCATGGAAAGATAAATAGGCAAGAATTCTAAAAATTTATTTTAAAATTATGGGACCATCCTTACATAGATACTAGGTGATAAAGTACATCATAATTTGTAATTATTAAAGCACTCTAATACTAGCACAGGATTGAATGTGAATCAGTGATACAAGAGGCCCTAGACGAGCCGAGACCGGTTTGGCTCAATGGATAGAGCGTCGGCTTGGGGACTGAAGGGTCCCTGGTTCGATTCCGGTCAAGGGCATGTACCTTGGTTGCGGGCATATCCCCAGTGGGGGGTGTGCAGGAGGCAGCTGATCGATGACTCTCTCTCTCATCGATGTTTCTAACTCTCTGTCTCTCTCCCTTCCTCTCTGTACAAAATCAATAAAATATGTTTAAAAAAAAAAAAAAGAGGCCCTAGACGAGACACCAAGTAACCACGACAATGAATTCCAGGGAGGACCCATGCCCTGACATGGGAGCCAGACCTGAAAACCTCACAAGCTACCTCTGGGAGGAGGCTCTGCTTGGGCGGGACCCAGGGCAGAGGGCCCACAGCTCGAGGCGATTGCCCTCTCCTGTCTTGCCTCGCCTGTGGCTGCTCCCCATGCTTTGGCACCTCAGTGAACCTCTGTCCGTCTGGAGCCTGTTAGTTTTGGCTCCTAGCAGCCTGTGGAACCAAGCCCAGATCCCAGGAAAGGCCGATAGAGACCACTCTTTTGAAGAAAAATCAGAGTCCTGGACGAGGACCAATCTGACTGAGCATTATTCATCCACTCACTCATTAGAGAAACAGCCTAATAGCCATTCTTCTCATATTCGGATCTCTTGCACAAGTTTTCCATCTGCTCATGTGACTAATTGTCTTCCCCAATTAACTAGAAGCCCTGTAAGGTCTTGGGTTGTCCCTGATCCTATTTTCTTGTTTATTTTGGAAATATAACACATGCACATGTTATAATTAAACAGTATAAAACATTAAACAATGAGAACTAAGTCTCTGACTGACTCCCTTCTTCAGCTCTCCAAATGAAAGTCGGTTTCACTGTTACCTGTTTCTCGCCTATCATTCCTGAGCCTGACTGGCTGTCTTCTTGCCCCTCCCTCCCTTGCTCTCTCTCCCCCTCCTTTCCTCCCTGTGTGTCTGTGCATATCTCCCTGCTGAAAGTACAAATCGTGGCCATACTACATATCTTGCACTTCGGTTCCCCCCGCCTTAATGCAAGTAACCACGATCTTGCCTGTATGTCAGTACAAAGAAATGTGTGTTGGTTTTTAATTGCCCCATGGTGTTTCACTAGGTAGGAGCAGAGCCTGACCAGTGTGGGCCCTTGGTGGGCAGCTTGCTCCCAAGAGGAGAGAAAGAGCCCTGACCACCCACACCGGCTCCTCTTACACTCACCGATGACATGCCTATTCCACCTAGCTGGGAGAGAATGAGGGGGAGGCAGCGCCAGGGATATTTTGCTACTGGGCATCTTAGAAGCATCAAACAAGCAAGTACGGTCAAATGAACAAACAAGTGGCCTGCACCACTGCTCTGGGACTAGGAGTAGGACCTCATTCTACCTGGGACCTACAGAATCCCAAGGCCCCGTCCCAGCCCCACCCTCCCCTGTTCTTAATTCCAGCTCCAGTCTGTGTAAGGCTTGCCCTTTAATTTCCATTCCAGAGCAGTCTCTTGCCAGACCTCTGAAGAATTCGGTCTGCTAGTTCTATCCAACAGTTTTCAGAGGGACCTTTGTTGTACTGTGAACTTCCTTGTTTCATGTCATGAATCTGCCTTCTAGGAAGGGTGGCATGGCAGGGTGAGTATGAGTTTGCTTTATGGAGAAGTTTAGCATTCACTTAGTAACCCCATATTTAAAAGCACCTCCCAGGTGCCAGGCACTGTGCTGAGATGAGTCAGGCACAGGTCTTGACCTTCCCATGGTCTGAGTGGGAGGGCGGGTGGTGCATCCAGGCTCATTGTTCCGTGGGGGAAGCCCCAGGACTGCACAGGCATGTGGGAGGGGCAGGTTTGGGAAGCTTAGGCCAGAGGAGGTCTCTCGTCTGTGCTGGGGGGGGGGGGGGGGCATTGGTCACAGAAATTTTCATTCTGTGTTTCTGGTTACACCTTGATGAAGGAAGAGGGATGATCCTGAGTTAGACTAAGAAGTATCCAGGGCTGGAAGACTAAGCTGGGGCAGGGCCTGGGGAGAAGAAGCCCCACCATAGGTGCTTCCTGGGGTACTGCTCTAGGGAGCTCTGGCAAGCTCTTCAGGGCTCAGGACTTTTTAGAGCAGTCAGCCAGCCTCTCCTGGCCCGTGGCATGGGAGACTGGACTCCGGGTAGCCCTGTAACAAGGGTCCCGTCCAGTTTGGTCTGTGGCTGTCGGCATAGAGAATGTCTCCTCTATCCCACCTTTGAGATTGACAGTGACATCAGCACACAAAAGGCTCTGAGAAACCCGTCACTAAAGAAACTTACAGAAATGTAGTCCCCCAGCCCCCTGCCCCCCCCCCCATTTCCTAACAGTTTGCCTGTGGAATCTTTGCTACCATACAGCTGTGTGTATCGCTTCTTCAGCTCTTGTCTTGAAATTGCCGTGGAGGAGGGGTGGTCAGCCCCCATGAAAACATCCAGGACCTCTCCTTTCACCCTACCCTCTACTTCTGTGGGTGGGGTTTTGGTTTTGGACTCAGACTCTTCTTTGTGTTGGTTGAGCGCCACCTGTTGGCTATTAAGACATTACAGAAATCGGGGTTGGAGTGGGGGGGGGCGGGGCATGTAACAGCAGTTTGTGCTCTGATATCTGGCATACTCCTGCTGAAGTTTGACCACATTTGACATAAATATCAAGGGAAAGTGAAACATTTCAGCAAGAGAGAGGAAGACGACGAGAACCCCCACACTACACCCTGTCAGCTTTGGTTTCCAGCTCACAGGGTCGGATCTCTCTTGCATCACCCCACCCCCTTCACTGTAAGTAACTGAAGCCGGCAGGTGACCTCACTTCTCTGAGAAGATGCTGTTATGCTCAGGTTGCCCTGCTTTGTCTTTGGTAACAGAGTAGCGATAAGGTTGGGTTTGTTGTTAGCCCAGTGGTTAGTTCTTCACCAAACACTGCAGGGCACCCAAGCTGGTTCTCTTCCCAGGAGCCCCCACTTTCCAGTGCCTTTCTCCTGCTTGTGTCTTCTGCGCCGTTTCTGCAGGTGGCAAATGCTTGGTCGGGATCCAGCAACAGTGAAACGAGCCTTTTATCCTGGGCTTTAATGTGAACAAACAATCAGTTATAGGAAAGTTTTGGATATTTTTCCCCTTCAGGACATAAAGAAATAGGGACCGTTTTGTTTTTATTCCTGGAACCACCTGCCTGGTTAGGCATCAGGTTGCTGACAGGTTGAGCGGAGGTGGGGGAAGCGGGTTGGTTTTGCCCGCGGTTGGGACCTAATGCACTCTGGGACGTACTCTGCTCTCCAGCCTGGTCTGTCTGGTAGCACCGCACCCACTCCCACTCCCCACCCTCCAGGCTGCGGCCATGCTGGGTGTTCTCCACTGCACTGGCCAGGTGTGTTCCTGCTCACCTCGGGCCATGGCAGGCCAGGCAGCAGGAACGGCCTCTCCCCCTCTCCTTGGTTTATTTAAAGGTTTCTTATCTTCTAGACCTTGGCTTAGATGTCACCTCCTCCAGAAAGCCTCTCCTGACTGGCAAACTGGTCAGTTATGCCAACTGTATGCTCCCAGAGTCCTCTGCTCTTCTTCACAACACTCAGCACATAGGCAGGACTTGTGCCTTCGGGGACTTCATCTGCCTCATCCATCCCATTCCTCATTCTTAGCTCAGAGTAGACTTGTCAGATGAGGAAACAAGAAGCAAGTGGTTCTACAGCCATGTGGAATTCAGGGTAGACCTTTGCCCAGGTCCTTGTTCAGGGGTATTGAGAGTGGGCATGTGAGTGTCACCTTTTTCCTCTTGTAGAAGAGGAAGTCTGTTGACAATAGTGGCACAAAAGAGAGGCCTTTTCAAGTCAGGAGGTGTTAAATCAGGCCTTTCAGTAATAACGTAAATCTAAATCCCTGAGGTGGTTATTAATATCTTATATTTTGCTTTAGTGTTCACCCATTGTGTGTGTGTGTACACACATTTAATCCTTATTAAAACACTCTGGAGGTGATAGTATCATTATGATCTCACCCAGGAATGGGTGCCAAAAGAGTTAAGTGACCGTAAAAGTTCAGTTAGGATGCAGTTATGCAGTAGAGTCTCTGAAACACTGCAGCTGCTGGCTGTTGAACTGGGGTGAAAGCTGAGCAATGGGGGCGTGGGTTCAGGGTGCCAGTGGATGAGGATGAAAGAGAGGAAGAAGGTGTTTAACTGGTTTGAAGGCCCTAATTCTTTGAGCTGAGGCTGCTGCTCTCTGTTCCTCTGATTCTAAGAGAATGTGCTGTGACATTTTCTCTCGGGGGTCGGGGGGTGTGTGTGATTCTGGCTGATGTGATTCTGTGATTCTCAGCCTGGCCCGGTGCTGGGTGGGTAAAGGGAGCCATGAGGTTTTGCCAGGTGCACAGCCTTTTGCTTCGTAACCCAGGTTTTCAGGTTCAGCTCAGGTTTATTGCTTGGGTACCGTCTTTGAAGACCTCAGCTGTTGAGCTATTGGCACGTCTCTGTCACTTGAGCTTTCTGAGTGGGTCTGGAAAAGGGAAAGGGCTGTGACCTGCAGTCAGGAGGACCCAGAGAACCCCGTTTGGTATGAACCAAAAATAGTCCCTTGCCTAGCTCAAGCCATCTGAAAAAGAGGAGCCCTGTGCCAGCTGCTCAGAGGAGGCTCCTGGCAGAGCCCTTGGAAAACTAAGCTGTCCGAGGAGGCTGTGCCTCCAGAGAACGTTCCTTGCCTGTTGTTAGCTGCTTTGCAAGTGCTTTAACTCATTAACGAAGAATCACTACCTGAGCCCCAAGTTTTGTGCTAGGTGCTTAGGGTGAGGGATGCCTAAAGGGCCCTCCCTCTGGAAGCTGCAGGCTGTCTATTGGAGGGAGATGTGGGCATAGACATTGTTCTAGCGGCTATGGGTGAGTGCTCTTTGAGGTGTGAGCTGTGCGCTGGGAGGTCTCAGTGCCTGCTCAGAGGAGATGGTGGTGGAGCAGTGTTTGAGGGCTGAACAGGTGGGCAGGGGCACAGGGAGCTCCGAGAGGAGTGAGGACCATGTGTGCAGAGGCCTGGAGGCAGGAGAGTGCCTCACAGGTTCAAAGGCCTGTTGGAAGTACCTTGTGGGGAGGTGGGCCAAGACCAGGTTAAAGGAGCTTGGCTTTGCCGAAACCGGTTTGGCTCAGTGGATAGAGCATTGGCCTGCAGACTGAGGGATCCCAGGTTCGATTCTTGTCAAGAGCATGTACCTTGGTTGTGGGCACATCCCCAGTGGGGTTATGCAAGAGGCAACTGGTCGATGATTCTCTCTCATTGATGTTTCTAACTCTCTATCCCTCTCTCTTCCTCTCTGTAAAAAATCAATAAAATATATTTAAAAAATAAAAAAAGGAGCTTGGCTTTCATTCAGTGGTCAACAGATTTCTTTTTCAGCTTCACTTTGGTATAATTGATAGTAACGTTGTGTAAGTTTAAAGTGTACAATGTGACTTGATATTTATATAGCAAATTCAACAGATTTCTTTTTAACTTTTAATTATGGAAGTTTTTAAAGAAATGCAAAAAATAAACAGAATATGATAATGAACCTTGCCCTCACCCTGCTTCAGCAGTTAACCAATGGCATCATCCCAACACCTCTACTCCACGTCACTTGGAAGAGGTCCCAAAGGGTCTTATATATTCTATCAATCTCATCTGTGACTTGTAATGGATTAATCCAGAATTTGGTGCCTGGAATGATCAGGTGGCACTTTCTGATATCACTTCATTTTCAGAAGAATTAATGAGTGTCCCTCTTTCTTTCCTTTCAGTGGGAAGTTGGTGTCTCCCAAGTGGAAGAATTTCAAGGGCCTGAAGCTCCAGTGGAGAGACAAGATCCGGCTCAATAACGCCATCTGGCGGGCGTGGTACATGCAGTGTGAGTGCCAAGTGAGCTGGGGCCTCCTGGGAGCTGGGGCAGGAGGCTGCAGGGGCCCCCAGGCCTGTGGGGATGGCCCTCCAGGTTCTTCCATCTGGAGGCCTGTGCACCTTGGAAATTATGCCTCAAAGAGAAGCCTCTTTTGGGCAGTCTGCAGAGACAAGAAAACCAAGCCAAATCCTATTGAACTGGACACTTCTCCGCCAACAGGCACAGGGACCAACCAGGTGGTCTGTGTTGTGAAGGTGCCCGTCATCTGCAGGAGACAGATGTGTTAGCTGGTTGATAACAACACAGTTGCCCGCTGTTATGATAGACACCAGGGCCCAATGTCGAAAAGGCAGAGGTGGAGGGAGGGGTTTGTTCTTTTCTGGGGAATCAGAAAGGGTGTAGCAGACAGGTGACATTTGAAGCATCAGGGAACAGTTCCCACTTCCAGCAGGTCTAAGAAAATGCAGGCCCGGCCTTGTTCTGTCTCCAGCTGGCCTGGGTGACTTTTCCAGGAGATTGGCGTGCTTGGGCTACCCTGGTGTTAGGCTGGCGTTTCCATTTCTTACCCATGCCGTATTGACACATTCTTTCTCTTTAACCTGGATCCCTTTGTTTGTCTGAAATCTTGTTTCCCAAGGGAAAGAGAAAGAAAGAACACATGTGAGAGGGTCCCACCCGAGGGGAGGGTTGTAGACCAAGGGCAGGGCTCCTTCAGGGGTCTTGGTTGCAGTAATGTCTTACCCCCTCTCTGCCCAGATTTGGAGAAGCGAAAAAATCCCGTGTGCCACTTCGTCACTCCCCTGGACGGCTCTGTGGAAGTGGACGAGCATCGCCGGCCAGAGGTGAGTGGCCGGGAAAGGAACTCGCCTCACTCAGGAGCCGGCTCATGAGGGCTGGGAGCCAGGGTTGGTTCCCCAGTGGGAGACCACAGGGCAGCATGCTGGGGCTGCGCTGCCCTGTCAGCTGTTGTGACCTTGAGAAGCCATGGGGATGTGGGGAGCAGGTGGCTCCCATTCTCAGAGTGGGCTGACCCAGGGACTGAGGGACTTTCCAGCTGGGACTTAACCTCTACTTTCCTGTGACTGCAGTGTTTCTTGAAGTCAATAGGGAGGGACTTGGGCTCCTTATAAGGCAAGTATCTTTTTTTTTTTTAATCCTCACCTGAGGATATTTTTAGAGAGTAGAAGGACGTGGGGAGAGGTGCAGAGAGAGAAATATCGATGTGAGAAAGACACATCGATTGGTTGCCTCCCACATGCACCCTGACCGGGTCTGGGAATCGAGCCTGCAACCCAGGTATGTGCCCTTGATAGGGACTCAAACCTGTGAACCAAATGCTGCAACCACTTAGTAACACCTACCAGGGCACACGGAAGTATTTTTGGGTGAGATTATGGGGGGCTTTGGCATGATAGGGATCTGACAGTGAGCGGGCTCTCTGAGACAGTCATGAATTCCTTGTCACCAGAACATTTCAAAGATGTGGAAGGACGCACGCCCTGAGTAAAGGTTCAGTTGAATGAGATACTCTTGGAAGTCAAATCACTGTCCACCAGAAACTTCTGTGATTGACCGTTTGTTCTGACCCTTTGACTGTCCCTGCAGCTACAGGAAGGGCCACTGCCTTCTCACATGAAGGACTGAAGGGCTGAGGAAAGGGTCAGTTCTCTGCGGGGTGGGCTGCAGGAGTTTCTCCCCTCGGTTCTGCACCCTTCACGTTCTGTGGGCAGCCCCTGCCGCTCTGTAGAATAGGGAGCATATGTCCCCAGCACAGTGTAGTAGTGGCTCCTGGAAACATGCATTTGGGTGTTACCCCTGAGTCTCTGTAGGGCTCCTCAGCACCCGAGGGATCATTCTGTCTGACCCCGTTCAGTCCAGACCCTCAGGACCCGTGCTGCCGAAGCCCCCTTGGCTATTGCATCTTCAGTTAGTTAGAGGCCACTTGCAGCGCAGAAGAGGGAAACACACTTTGTGAGTGAAGTCTAGGACCATGGTGGGCTGCAAGCTGGATTGACCAGGCTGACTTCCAACCTGGCGTCAGACATGACTCTCTTCCTGGGTGACTGCTGCTGACGTGCTGCGGCGCCATCGCTCCTGCTGACCTGCTTCTCTCCCGCAGGCCATCACCACAGAAGGGAAGTACTGGAGAAGCCGCATCGAGATCGTGATCCGGGAATATCACAAGTGGAGAACCTACTTCAAGAAAAGGGTAACTGGCCTGGGATCCAAAAGGAGCATGTTGGGGAAGGGGCCCGGAGGAAGGAAGGGACCGAGTCCTGCATTCGAACACTGGCCCTGAGGCTGCAGCTCCTTAGCTCTCCGGGGAACGAGCGTTCCAGCTTTCCGAGGGATGGGCTTGCTGTGGCCGTGATCTTTGCTGTCAACGTCTCCACCTGTGAAAAGGCTTTTTGATCCACAAACACTGGTCAGGTATCTCCTCTGCCGGGCATTGCCTGGGGGTGGCAGGGTCAGGACTCTCTCCCCACCTGCCCCCCAGAGACAGGATGCCTAGATGTTTCTGGAGTCCACGCTCTTTTAGGGAGGAGAAGCTGAGGGCCTCATCTCTTCCTGGGGCCCTGGGTGACCTGCTTGTCTCCTTTTCTCCATAGTTACAGCAGCACAAGGATGAGGACCTCTCCAGCCTGGCCCAGGTGAGGGAGCTTGGGGTGTGAGGACTCCCATAGGGAACCCCCTTTTGACAAGAAACAGCAATAACGTGGATGGCTTGACAAGTGAGCCCCATATCAGAGGAGTTTGGGGATATGGACTCTCCCTGCGGCTAAAGGATTGAAGGGCTGAGCAAAGGCATCAGTTCTCTGCTGGGTGGGCTGCAGGGGTTTCTCCCTTCTGTTCTGCACCCACTCATGTTCTTCGCAACAGCCCCTGCCGCTCTATAGAATAGGGGGCATATGTCCCCAGCACAACATGGTTGGGAGCTCTGAGTCCACCACCGCCTGCTCGACTTCTCCATCCCCTCTGTTGGCGGTAGGAAGATGACATGCTTTATTGGCACAAACATCGGGATGGATGGAAGACCCCAGTCCCGATGGAGGAGGACCCACTGCTGGACACAGACATGCTCATGTCAGAATTCAGCGACACACTTTTCTCCACACTCTCCTCACACCCACCGGTGGCCTGGCCCAACCCACGGGAAATAGGTAACCCACCCGCAGATCCCTGACTTTGAGTGCCTGGCTGGTTTTCTTCTCTGTCAGCCTCCATGGGGCAGACTTCACTTCAGGGCCATCTCTGAGCAGCTGCATGTCACTTGTTTAGAGCAGGCGGTAAGAAGGAAGATTGACCAACCTCACTGACATCTGACAGCTACATGCATTGAGTGGGTGGGGACTGCAAATTGAGTCTACCTAGGAGGTGTCATGCTCATGGTATCACTGTGAGAAACAGCGGGGGTTTGATCTGAATCAGTTTCACATTTCTGATTCTGTCCCCTTAGCAAAAGATGTGTGCCTAGCCCAAGTGACAGGCCTGAGACCCACTCTGAAGAAGATGAGAAGCACCCCTGGCATGACCTCTCATCTGGCCTGAGAGGTTGTCCAGTTCACCCATCATGGAAGAGCCCACAGACTTAGAATTGCGACAGGGGTTGGGGGAATCTCTGCAGAACTGATCATGATTTCTGAGAGGGTCCGTACTTGATACTCTATTTACCTTTCTTGCAAAAAACTTACTCTTTTCTGCATTCTGGGTGCAGAGAGTGGCCATGAACCCACAAGAAGGTAGAAATCCCAGCCAGTTGCCTACATTTCTTCTTGGAAGAATCTAGAATCTGAGCAGGACCAGGCCTTTCATATCTTCCTACAACTTTGAGAAGGCAAAGTCATTGCTCTGTCTCCTTTCTGATCCTTACAGCACATCTGGGAAATGCAGACATGATCCAGCCGGGGCTGATTCCTTTGCAGCCCAACCTGGACTTCATGGACACGTTTGAACCTTTCCAAGGTGAGGACATGAGCAGAGAGGGCATGGCCACCTGCACCTCCTTCACCCAGGACAAAGCAGACCGGTGCTTTCCTTTCACAGAGGGAGCTGTTGGAGTGGGAAAGGGAGCAGGGAGGACTTAGAATTTCCCCAATTTTTTGGTTGTAGCTGCAAAGTCTGCAAGTGTCTCTGGGGCATTGCTGTTGTGGGAATTGGTCTTCTCATTCTCAGTCTGAAGAGCCTCTAGTTTGGCCAATGACTGTGAGCAGTTTTCCCTCTAGGCAGCAGAGGGCGCCAGCGACACGGCCACCTCCCCACAGTTTCCTGCAGTTAAAGCTGGTTCTTTGCGCTAATATATGACTGCTTTAGGTTCATTACATGTTACGCAATTTTACCATGAGATTAACTGCCAATAAAAACTTTTGATAACACTTTAGGAATAGCTTTTTGTACAGTACAATCCGTTTTTCTAGAATATTCGCTTATTTCAATTAGCCAATTTAAATAACTCTGAAAACTTGACTAGTCTACTGTCAAACTCAACACTCTAACAACAGTCCTATTTTACCCTGTCTATATTAGTGGAAAGAATTATTTGCCTTCTTGAGTAGGCCTGAGCATTCCTGGTACTAGGCTGGATTTGGATATCAAAAACTTACTTCCCCACACCATGGGTACAAGACATCTCAAACAAGTCTTGTCGCAGTGAGAGGGCAGCTGCTGTCGGTCAGGTCTCTGTCTGTTACCTGGATTCCGATTTGAACTGTGCATGGGAAGCAAAGCAGCCATGGGGGCAGGAGACCTCCCTCAGAAGGGGTGAAGCTTCAGGCCCCTGCAAAGTTTGGGGGTTAAGGGTCTATGCTTCACCTCTGTTGACCCCTCTGTGACTGTGCCTGTCTTAGGTTGTTCCTTTCCTGAAGAATCTTACCCTCCTGGGCCAAGCAGGGTGATGTGAGGTTCAGTTCTGTCTCCTTGGTAGCCTAGCTTTACATAGGCTACCAAGGAGACAGAACATGTAAAGCTGGTTCCTGAGCTCCCACCATTGTAAGAGCTGGTGAAACTCCAGGCCTGGGAGTATTTCAGAGCTCACAATAGTTGCCATCAGGTGTGGTTCCAATCAGAGGGCCTCTTTCTGCAGTTACCTCAGGGGGAATGCCCTCTCCGGCCATGGCATTCCTCTGGGTAAGGTGGGGTTCAGTGCCTGATTTGTTTGCATTTTAATTCAAGGAAGTGACAGACACACAGAGCTCAAAAGCCCCAATGTTGTCTTTCAGAACTCTTCTCTTCCAGCCGCTCCCTTTTTGGCTCCATGCTGTCTGCACCCGCCTCAACATCTGCACCAGATCCCAACAGCCCACCTGCTCAGGTAGAGGAGCTGGGGGAGGGGCACAGGGCTGGTCATGAAACCTCTGCAGTGGTGGTTAAAGTGCTAGGGGCTGCTAGATCACAAGAAATTATGCTAGCCCTTTCTTGAAAGCATCCTGAAGATTGACACGGTGGGAGACTGTCTCCGTAAGTATATGCTCCTATCTAAGGCTCCAGGTAACCCGTGTGCAGTGAGCTCTGTTCTGATCATTGAAGACAGTGGTTCTCAACCTTTCATAAAATTATTTTCATTGCTACTTCATAACTGTAATTTTGCTACTGTTATGAATCGTAATGTAAATATCTGTGTTTTCTGATGGTCTTAGGCGACCTGCAGGTTGAGAACCTCTGCTGTAGAGCCTAAGACCATCGGAAAACACAGATATTTACATTACAATTCATTAACAGTAGCAAAATTACAGTTATGAAGTATTATAGCAATGAAAATAATTTTATGGTTGGGGGTCATCACAACATGAGGAACTGTATTAAAGGGTCGAGGCATTAAAAAGGTTGAGAACCACTGATTTAAGACAAAGTAAGCAAGACAGCAAAGAAAAACGTGGGTGGCAATGAAAGGAAGTTCTGTGTATTTCTTTGAGTTTTTACTCTGCAATCACCGGAGATTGGTTTCCAAGTGAGGCCGGGCCTTTAGCCCTGAAGGGGCTCTCGGGCTTGTGCCCATGTGCAGTGAGATACCAGTAACCTGGCCCATCTTCTCCCATCTGGCTCTGGGAAGAATTTCCTCTAAAGAGATTGAGATCTGATTCCTTATAGCGTTTCCCTTTTAGGAAGAGGTGACCTCTCTGGAAGTTGATATACGAAACTGTCCTGAGGGAACCCCATGAGCAGCTGGCATCCAGGCTGCCTCTGCTCTGTAACAGAAGATGGCAGGGACTTTTGGGGACCCCTGCTGGACTTCAGAAACAAGATATTCCCAGGCTGAGAGCCAGCTGTGTGCAGACAGTCACTTTGTCTGAGCCCTGTTATCACTTAGTTTCTAAGGGAAACAAGACCCCTGTGGACATCTGGGAGACACAGATGCACCCCCCCAGATCAGCAGTAACGGGATGGGAGAAGTGCCTTTGTCACTCTGTTCAGGGGTTCATCTCAGGTGCCCGGCAGACATTGTACTTTGTGGCGTGTAGCACCAGAAAGTGATGGCAAGTTGTGTGATCCCAGTATTTTTTCCTCCTTTCTCTTCCCTTTTCAGGAGAGCATCCTGTCCACCACCTCTCTCCCCACCGTGAGCCTCCCCGACAGCCTCATCGCATCCCCCGCAGCCACGGCCCTGGACCCCACAGATAGGCCGGGCTGTGAACGCACTTCCCAGCCCGAGCACCCCTTTATCCAGCCCGCAGACTTTGGTCCCTCCACGCCCCCACTGAGTGTCCCACAGCCTTTCCTCCCCCTGTTCACCATGCCTATGCTCTCGCCCAGCCCCACCCCGATGCCAGCTCCCCCTGCTGTGCCACTCGCCCCTCCTGCCACCCCCCTGAATCCCCCACCCCCACCCACCTTCTTGCAGCCACAGAAGTTTTCTGGAGCCAATGAGTCCCCTGCTGTCATTACCCACACGGCTTCCACCACTCTCACGCACGATGCCTCTGCTACCACCTTCAGCCAGAGCCAGGGCCTTATCATCACCACTCACCACCCCACCCCCTCAGCATCCCCCTGTGGCCTGGCACTGTCTCCAGCCACTCAGCAGCCAGCTGTGGGCCCTCCGCAGCCCCGTTTAACGTTTGTGCACCCCAAACCTGTATCCGGGACTGGAGGGAGGCCCAAGCAGCCCCCCAAAATAGTGCCTGCCCCCAAACCAGAGCCCGTGTCCTTGGTATTGAAGAATGCTTGCATTGCCCAAGGTGAGTGGGGAGGGAAGCTGGAGTCTGACCCCCCTACAGTCCCCAGAATATTCTCTTGGCCCCAAGGCTTGCATATTCATCACATAACACACACACACACACACACACACACACACACACAGATACACACACACACATACATTATGAGGTGAAAAAAAGTATAATACTGCATATGATTGCTCTAGTCTGTTTTGTGTTTTGTGTTGTTCCTTTAAAATTAGTCTCAATCCAGTTGGAAAACTCATGGTCCTGGTCATCTCTTTCCTGGGTCTGTAATCTGTCCCCTTCAAAGGGAAATTACAAAAACATGTCAGAGGCCTTGGTGGCTTTGTCTTTCCTGTGCCCCGCAGTGAGGAAAGCTATGTCTCAGTGGCAGCCAAAGGGCCCCATCTTTCTCCTGGGGGACCCCATTGTGCCTTGGCCAGGCACGGGGTTAGCACTAACATTGAGAGCAGGTCCCATGGCTTGGGGCCTCCCCCTCACCTTCTTGTTCTGGCAGCTGCCTTCTCAGGACGGCCACAAGCAGTGATCATGGCAGGCCCTATGAAGAGAGAAGGGATGTTGGCTTCAACCGTGTCCCAGTCCAACGTGGTCATCACGCCTGCTCCCATCGCCAGGGTGAGGGCCTGGACAGACCTCAGCATCCTTAAACCCGCAGCATGGCCTGCTCTTGGGCAGCCCTCGCCCAACAACCATTGTTAGGAGTGACCCCTCTCTCTCTCGTCACCCCAGGCTCCTGGAGCCCCAGAGTTCCACAGCAGCATCCTAGTGACAGACCTGGGCCATGTCACAAGCAGCCAGCCTGGCCCCATCTCCCGGCTCTTCTCTGCAAGCTCAGTGCAAGACTCCCTAGTGAAGGGCGAGCAGGCCCCACTGCACGGGGGCAGTCCCCAAGGCGCTGTTGTGGGCTCTGGTGAGTGGTCACTGTGGCTGGGACAGTTGGGACTTTGTGAGTGAAATGAGCTGGCCCACTCCTGGATTCGGGAGCCCCCCCAGGGTGCCCCAGGATTGAGCTTGGGCTTATAGGCCAAGCAGCGAGGTCTCATAAACCCGCTGGTGGCCCAGACTGGGAAAGTGAGCGAGGCAGGCAGGATACAGCCAGGAGCAGAAGAGCAGCAGGCAGGCTGCGGCATGATTCTTTGGTTTGTGCTGGGGGGCCGCTGTAGGAGGCTGAAGGTGGGTTTCTGGTCTTGGGACTGGCTGGGGGTTCCCTTCGTGTGTGGGGACTGTGGCAGGCACAGCCTGGCCGAACCCCCTCTCCAGTCCTGTCCTTCCAGGTCTCTGTTCTTCTCAGGTCGTGACGGCCCAAACTCCGGGCAGGCCTCGCCATGTGCTTCAGAACACAGCCCCAGTCCTCAGTCTCCCCAGAACAGCTGCTCAGGGAAATACTCTGCCGATTCCAAAAATGTGGCTGTGTTAAAGGTACCACCGTCTCTTTCGGGTCTCTGTTCCCTAGGAAGGGTGGGGAAGCAAGGACCTTTGGGACAGCCATGCCCTTACGAGGGGCACACTGGAAAGGAGAGCCATGGCTCGGCTGGTGCTCCCCAGGCTGAGGTAGCCTCGGAAGTGTGGTGTCAGCGCCTTTAATTTCGATATTAAGCCCTCTTTCTCCACCCACACCCACGGAATGGCCTGTGGGAGCAACACGGACTCCTGCAATGTGGCAGAAAGCGTCAGCTGTAGGACAGGAGAGCTTTGCAGGTGGCTGGGTAGTGCCAGACCGGCAGTGTTTGTTCCTTGCCAGGACTTTGAAGCATGGCCACACTCCATGCTTCAGGGGTGGTTTTCTAGGGTCCCATCCTATCCCCTCCTGGCTCCTGCTGAAGCCTCAGCTTCCTGTCACCGCTCCTTCCACTTAGCCACGGTCCAGTCGGCCCCCAGCATCCGCAATAGGTTGAGAGGGCAGGGAGGAGGGGCCAGGAGAGGTGGCCTGCAGCGCACCCCATGTCACAGTGATGGGTCGGTTTTCCAACAGAACCGGCAGATGAAGCACATTTCAGCCGAGCAAAAGAGGCGCTTCAACATCAAGATGGGCTTTGACACCCTGAACAGTTTGATCTCTAATAATTCCAAGCTGGTGAGCTGCCTAGGGCATTGGGTGAGGAGCTTAGACCTGGGGCGTGGGCGCTGCTCTGACCCCACACCCGTCTGCAGACCAGCCATGCCATCACGCTGCAGAAGACAGTGGAGTACATCACCAAGCTGCAGCAGGAGCGCAGCCAGATGCAGGAGGAGGCGCGGCGACTGCGGGACGAGATCGAGGAGCTCAACGCCACCATCATGTGAGGCGCGGGCACATCATGGAGGCTCGGGTGGTGCCCAGTCCTCACGTGTGCGCCACACAGGCAGGATCCTCCTGCCCATCTGGGGCCCCCGGGGCCCGTATTTGTCACCGGCTGCTCCAAGCTTCCTCTGATTCTTCCTGTCATTGCAGCTCCTTCCAGCAGCTGCTCCCTGCCACAGGAGTCCCCGTCACCCGGCACCAGTTTGATCACATGACAGACATGTTTGATGAATATGTGAAGAGCCGGACCCTGCAGAATTGGAAGTTCTGGATTGTATCCTTGGGTTTCTTTTGCCCACCCTATCCTAAACCAGGGCACCAAAACAGCAGACATCTACACTCTAGTCCTTTTAGAAAGATTCTCATATAATGGCTGTCATTCAGCTTCTGAAACAACAAGGTCCGTTTTCTCCTTGAGAGAGCAGGGCCAGGCCCGAGACGTGGAGTGGGGCTATCACTGGCCACTCTTCTGGTCGGGGCTTCCGGAGGAGGCAGAACAGGCCAGCATTGCTCTCTGGGTCCTTGAGGACAGAAGACAAGAGCCTCTTGTAGAAGGAAGTGGCCTCTAGCTAACACGTCCCGGCAGCCAGCTTGTCCTTTGGAAGGGGGGGGGGGGGAGGGGAGAAAGGAGGGGGGGAAAGGGGGGAGGGGAGGGGAGGGAGGGAGGGGAGGGGAGGGGAGGGGAGGGGAGGGGAGGCGACAGGTGACAGGGAGTACCAGGTGACAGGTGAGAGACCAGGCTCACAAAACCAAGCGGCAGAGCCTGGGTTTGAAACCAGCTCCTTCCACCTGCTCCCTGAAAAGGTACCCCAGGCCTTGAATGCTGTCATGAGGCACTTACCTGTGGGCTGGGCCTCCCTTGGCTGGCCTTCCAAATGGCCCTTTCAGGGGCTGGCTCCTGCCTTCTCACTGCCCACCCAGCCACTACTCTGCCTCTGGATTGGCCACTGCTTCAACCTTGTGTGTGACAAATGGGTCTGGACTTAAAATGGCTAGATGGGATTTACAACTTTAGGATGGTACAAAAGTGATACAAATAGTAAACAGCGTGAGATAGTCAATACTTTACTATAAAACTTGGGCTTTGTGTTAGATCAGTGAATTTCAACCCGTGTGCCACAAGAATTTTTGTTTTAATCCTCTATATTTTTCCACTGATTTTTAAAGAGAGTGGAAGAGAGAGGGAAAGACAGAGAGAAATATTGATGTGAGAGAAACACATTGATTGACTGCCTCCTGCACAAGACCCGACCAAGGCCTGGGCCAGGGAAGAGTCTGCAGCTGAGGTACATGCCCTTGACTGGAATCAAACCCAGGACCCTTCGGTCCATAGGCCAGCACTCTATCCACTGATCAAACCAGCCTGGGTACTGCAAGAATTTTTAAAGCATGTAATACTTGACTATTTTATCAGGGGCACTGATCTCTTTTCCCTTAAACTGTCAAATTTAAAAAATGACAACAGCCAACACAAATAATCAGGATTCTACTCCACTTTTTTGTCAAGCAAAAATATATTTATATCTATAAATTTTTGGTGTGCCACAGAATTTAGTTTATGTATGCATGAGATGAGTGAAATGAGTTTGCCCAACTATAGATTATTGTGAGTGTTCTGAGCATGTTCAAGGTAGGGTGGGCTAAGGTATGATGTTCTATAAGTTAGGTGTAATAAATGCATTTTTAAAAATATATATTTTATTGATTTTTTACAGAGAGGAGAGAGGGATAGAGAGCTAGAAATGTCGATGAGAGAGAAACACTGATCAGCTGCCTCCTGCACACCCCCCACCGGGGATGTGCCCGCAATCAACGTACATGCCCCTGACCAGAATCGAACTTGGGACCTTTCAGTCCACAGACCAACGCTCTACCACTGAGCCAAACCGGTTTCGGCGCATTTTTTACTTATGGATTTATCAAGATGTAACCCTGTCATTAGGCAAGGAGCATGTGTATATTTATGTCATGTTCAAGTCATTGCACCAGGATCCATTCCAGATCAAAAAAACGCTTCTGTGCCTGCCTCCAGCCTGCTCAGTGATCAGTTCTGGTTACACTTGGTCTTAGCCGGAAGGCCGGGCAGCGACGGGGGTCAGTTACAGTTCGATAGGAGCATCTTAGGCGAACGGAAGGGAAGGGCATGCTTACCTCTTCCAGATGTCTGTCGCTCAACCATCTGTCACAATTACTCGCCCGCCCCAAGGGAAAAGGCCCTCCTCGTCGCTTACCTTTTCTTTAACCCACGTGCCCTGCAGTTCAGTATCATCATCAAGCCGCTGTTCGAGTCCTTCAAGGGGATGGTGTCCACCAGCAGCCTGGCGGAACTGAACCGGACGGCGCTGTCCTGGCTGGACGAGCACTGCTCCTTGCCCATCCTCAGGCCGAGTGAGTGAGGTGCCGCACAGGGCGGTGGGGATGGAGGCTGCCACCTCCGTGTTGGTGCCGGAGAGATGAGGACCCTTAAGGCTACAGAAAACCCAGGCCCCACTGTAAACAACCATGCAGACAGGACCCGGGCATGAGGGTGGTGCTGTGCAGTCCTGAGCTAGTCACTGGCAGGGCAGGGAGCAGACCTTCCCAGTCCTTCTGTGGCTTCACTGTGTCACTTCCATCAGATCCAGTTTATGTTTGTTTATTTAAATATATATTTTATTGATTTTTCACAGAGAGGAAGGGAGAAGGATAGAGAATCAGAAACATCGATGAGAGAGAAACATCGATCAGCTGCCTCCTGCATACCCCCCACTGGGGATATGCCCTCAACCAAGGTGCCCTTGACTGGAATCGAACCTGGGACCCTTCAGTCCACAGGCTGACACTCTATCCACTGAGCCAAACCGGTTTCAGCAGCTTATGTTTATTGAGCTTTTCCTATTGGCTGGCCCTTTCAGATGTCTCCTTGTTTGATTCTTATAACTAACAAAGCTATGTCTATATGTTAAGGGTATAGAGAAGTGGTAGAAACACTGGTGAACAAGCCGGGAGAGCTTAGTCCTCTCCACCTATCCACAGGCTACGAATAGGATTCAGAGAGCTGCCTTAAAGGCAGAGGCGCTGTCCTGGTGTCCCTCTCCTCCTTTGGCAAGCACGAGAGTCACACGATGGTGGTACACGTAAGGCTACGTGTGCATACTATCCGAGGTGGGACTCAAAGCAGCCGCCTGCACCCTGCCTTCGGGCTAACTCCCCCTCCTGTCTTCCAGTGGTGCTGAGCACCCTCCGGCATCTGAGCACCACCACCTCCATCCTGACAGACCCGTCCCAGCTGCCAAAGCAGGCCGCGGAGGCTGTCACCAGACGTGGCAAGAGATCCGGGGAGTCATAGAGCTTAGCCGGCAGTGCCGCCCAGGATGCCAGAAGACCCTTCCCTGCCTGTGGAGAGGAGGCTGCGCCCCACGCCTCTCCTGACGCAGAGCCTCAGGGCCTCCCTCCAACTGCGCCAGCCCCCGGGGCTGCTCAAATGCCATGCTCAGGTCTGAAGCAGGTTCGGGTCCTGCCAACAGCAATAGTCCATCTTTGGGAGCTCGTTGCTGTCACCTCTCACTCAGCGACCTCAGTCACAACCTCCGCTGCCCTCGGGGCTGCCCAGACAGGGAAATACCACAGTTCATTCCTGTCCTGCTGGTCTGCCAGGCCCACGGAAGCAGGTGGGCACGAGGAGGCAGCGCCTGCTCCTGGAATTAGAAAACGTACAGGTCCCTGCCCGGTCCCTGATGTTTCATCCTGGCAGTTGTCTCTGGATGACTCCCTGCCTGCTCTGGCCCATCCTGGGGCGGTAGGAAGACAGTTTTCCTCCTCCTCCAGACTCTGACTTGCAGACAGATTGGACAGCTGTGCAGGCTTTCTCATGGCCAGCTGCCTGGCAAACCCTAAACTCTCGTGTGCAAAAGCAGAGGGTGTGAATGCGCAAGGACAAAAAGGAAAGCACAAGCAATGCAAAGCTGCTGCTCTGGCTCGGAGACCCTCCTGGTGGCCTGTGACCTATTCCGATTTGGTTCCACTTGCTTTGGCGGGCAGCACCCCGGCACCGCTGATGGGAATGGTGGCGTGGACTTGATCTGGAACTCCGCCAGGTATCAGCTCTCAGAGTGGCCTTTCAGCCTTGTCCTCCACCGGCTTCCACACTCCGCCTCCCAACACGCCAGCAGCGTCTGACGGGCATGCGTGGCCCTTTGGGTGCAGCCTTCGAAAGGCCAGGCTCCAGGGTGCTTCCAGCAGCCTGGTCCTCTTGTCTGCATTGCTCACCCAGGAGCCTCCAACCAGAACGGTTCTCGGACCAAAGAGGTCCCCACACCCAAAGGCCTTCCTGTCCTGTTTGGAGGAAGCAATTGAATGTCGACAGGCAGCATTCCCGGCCAGCCTCAGCTGTCCAGACGTCGCCCAGATCAGATAGTAAAGAACTGCACCCAGAGTTGATGAGGTGTGGGAGGGGGGTTCCCCTAGGGCACCGGGTATGGGGATTGCAGCGGAGGGTCCAGAGGAAGGTGTGGCGGGAGGGTGGTCTGGGCCAGTCCTTGCAGTGTCTGCCAGAGTGGCTGCGGGTGAAGGGCACTCGAACACCCTGGAAGCCTGGCCTGGCCAAAGGCACCTTCTGGTTGAAAGAATGCGCTTTTATCGTCCTGCTGTGAAGTTCAGAGGGCCAGAGGCAGAGATGGGCAGTGCTGGGCAGGCCAGGAGCCATGTGAGGGGGACCACGGCTACCTCCTGAGGTTCCGATCCATTAGGAGGCTCCCTGGTTCCTGGAGGACTGAGGAAGGTGCTCAGAGGGCGGCCAGCCCTGCCTCAGCCTTGGGTGGTGGAGGCTGGATGGGGGTTCTTCCCCCTGTGGCCGTCCACACCACCCCCTCTGCTGCAGGTCACTAACCTGTCACCTGCCCTTGGTCTACGCTTCACCCCTCAGCCTCCTCAGAACACGTGTTTACAGGCCTCCATCCCTCTCCTGAGAGGCGAGCACAAGACGAGGCTGGACAGGTTCCTCATTTCCATGTGGATGTGGTGAGAAAACCACCGTCACCCCCAGGGAAACATGAAGTCCCCTCAAAAGGGGAAGGCCTCCGTGGTAAGGGCTCCCTCAGGGCCAAAAGGGAAAAGGAAAACACGAAACGTTCACAGCTGTTAGGGCTCATGGAGGGGCGAGCTTGGCCCCTCCACAGATCTGTGCCTTCATGAACCACGTGGGTGGCCACAGCACTTGGCCCAGCCTAGCCCTCCTAAGCCGTAGCTTTCTCCCACCCTTGCTGGGAGTCCTTTTTAAAACAAATTCAGTGGGCATAAAATTGGCCTCTTGCTTCGCTGGCCTACCTCTCTCTGTCTCTCCCCTTTGCTGATTTAGTGATCAGATTCTGTTTAAGCTGTTAGGCTGTGTGTGACTTCAAAGGGTGTGTGTGTCTGTGTGGCATGTTTTTGTTTGAGGTATTTACTTAAATCCATTTCTCTTGGTGCTCACCATTACCGTGGCTGCAGGGCCACAAAGCTTTTCTCTTACTGCAGACACACTGTTGCTTGTCCTCCGGGTTTTCTTGTTTTTGCCTCTTGTCTGATGAATCTGGCCAGCACAAGGGCCTCTTTGCCTCTATCCTTGAGTCCTGGCCAGAACATGGGGAAACTGAGGCAGCCTGCCAATGGCCTCTAGTAGATGCTGACCATGGGCCTGTGGTTTGTTTACACTAATTTTTACTCCCATGCCAGTCCAACTCCCATAAAAGAAATTTAAAAATGCTGACACTTTGGAGAATGAGAAAATCAGTCTGAAAAGGGGAAAAAATCCTGTCTGGTACATACATTCTGCAAGTATTTCTGTGAAATCTCTCTGTGCCATCAGCTCCCTGCACTGCTCTTGACTCTTTCACAATGAGTGGGGATGCAGGGACCGAGCAGAGGCCGCTGTGGGGCTTTCTGAAAGCAGAAAGGCCTGTCCCTCCTGTCCCAGGCGGCTTACCCACCCGATGCCACCCCTCAGCAGGCCCCCAACCTGTGGCAGACCCGCAGCTGGCAGCGGTTTTCACAGCACCAGGAAAGTAGTTCCCACGTCAGAAATTAGTGCTGACGGAGGAGGGGTTGGGGGAGGGGGGCAGTGAAATCCACAGTGAAATGCTGTGGATTGAGGTCGCATATGTGTCCTTGGGCACCCACCTTTCTCCACTTCCTGTCCCTGTGACATGACCCCATTTCACCTTTCCAGAGGTCAGGCCTGCAGGTGTTTTTGCTGCAGCCAATAGAAATATAAAGTTAGCTTCTCGGAGGACATGGGACCCCAGCGTGGTCCCAACCCAGGTGAAGGCGTGTGGCAGTGGGTGACATCATTCATAGCCTCTTCCTAGCACAGCCTCCTCCACAGTCACACTCCCCTGTCTCCATGTGCAGCTCTGGCTGGCTCCGCCCCAGCTGCCTCTCAGGCCTGGCTTCCCATCAAACGAGTCCTGGGGCAGCAGGGCCGTTGTTTTCAAGATCACAAGTGTCTGCTCTCTGGCTGACAAGAGCTGTCAGAATGGAGCGGGGCTGTACTTGGCTCTGTCTCCCGCCCCCATTGGCCAGCAGACTCGCTCAGCGAGCAGGGGGTGGGTGCTAGGGGCCAGACCCTGTGCTGCCTGACCCCCCTGCTCTTGCCTCTAAAGTTCAGTTCTTTTACCTCACTGGCTCCGACGGGCAGGCTTGGAGCATTGCCTCACCCCCCCTCCTACTCAGCAGCCCCCTCCCCTCCCGTGTCCCCCGGCCCCTCCATGGTCTTTGTCCCACTGACTGGGCTGCTCTCTCTGGTGGGAGAGTTGCCTTTCCCAGAGATTCCCTGCTTCCCATTAAGCTCTTTGCAGTAGGTGAACTGCCCCCACCACCCTGGCGGGACCTGGCCGGGATGGAGCTGGGAGAGCCCTGATGTGGCCGCCTCGGGCTCGGTGCCTCGTGTATTAAGGTTTTCCCCACGTCTGAACACGGAGAAGCAGAGAGGAGAGCTTGGAGGCTGGACATGTTTGTGCCATTCCGGAGCTGCCTTGGTCGTGGTCCACTCAGAGGCTTTTGTGGTTGGAGGGGCTCCAGGAACAGGGAGAAGCGTTAGGATACCCCAACCCCCATCAAGTCCCTCCCCGGGGTCAGCTGCCTGATGTTCCTGAGGACACAGCTCTGCTGGCTCACCACGTGGGAGCTGTTTCCTTGTCGGGCTTGTGAAAATCCGCCTTGGAGAAAAAAAGGGAACTTTTTTATACTGAATGTTGGCTTTGACTGTGTGTGTGTGTGTGTGTGAATGAAATTTTATTTTTGTGAAATTCCTTTCCAATTATGTAGCAAAATTCACCTTCATCTCCCAGTCAGACTTTTGGTTCCACAGTCAACCTTGGGCATCGCTGATTTGAAGAACTCTCTTGTGCGTTTCTAAACAGAGATGTGTTGCTCTCAAGAACTGAGCTTGTGCAGGTTGGGAGAAAATCAGGTTTTGTTCTTTTCCACAGAGTTTACATCCTGCAGTTAGAAGGTAGGAAGGGCCCAGCCCTGGGAGACCCAACCTAGCTGTGTGCTTGTGAGGGAGCCGAGCACAGCCTCCCCCACGCCGCCTGCTGCTCCCCTGAACCCTCTCACCACCCGGACCCCAGGCTCTTGAACTTGTCCGGGTTCCCGTTCCCTGTGCGATGGTTCGCTCTTTCCTCTGGGAGCTTTGGTGATGGTGTCAGGGCTCCTCAGGAGACAGTGACCCCGTCTGGAAACAAACCCCCGGGAGCCTGGGCAGCAGAGGCTCCTGCAGGCCCGCATCACCCAGAGCACAGGCCTGTCACGCGTGTCGAGAAGCATGTTTCCACCAGCTGTGTTCAACACTACAATGCAGTTTGAAAACTACATTTACATCCAAAACAATAAAAAGCCGTATTTTTTGGAAACGCCTGTGGTGTGTGGTCTTCAGTGCTGCCCTGTTGGTCTATGGGGAGCCGGTGAAAGGAGAGCAGGCAGAGTGCCTCCCAGCTGCGCGCTCCTGGCCTGGAGGTGCGGATGCTGCCTGCAGGGGAGGCATTGGGTGAGGACAGAGGCCCAGGTGAGCGGGGTTCCAGAGGTGTCCCCAGAAAGACTGATTCTACAGAGAGGCCTCCGCCAAAGGGGCTGGTACCCCAAGCCTCGTGTGACCCATTCTGCCCATAAACTCACCAGGTGGGCAGAGTTGAGTGGCGCTTGTACCAACTGTCCTGATCTGTATCTCTTGACTAAAATGCAGTGGTTTGCTACACAGGTTCTTGTCTGATCAAACCCCAAGGCCTCCCCCAAGGGAAAGAAGTTCATGACACAAAACAAGATGTGGGGCTTTGAGGGCCGGGACCCCGGAGAGAGGTGAGTGGCATGTGGACTGCTTTCAGCCACAGGGAGCTCGACTTCCAATGAGCTCAGCAGCGGTGTCTGTCTGGATCTTTTTAAGTTTTTGAGCCCAGCTATGTGTTAAGTAAGGAAGATGCTTGGGCATAATTTGGAGAAATTGAGTTCAGATAGGCTGGGAAGGGAGGAGCAGAGAGTGTCTAGACCAGTGGTTCTCAATCTTTCTAACGCCTCGACCCTCTAATACAGCTCCTCATGTTGTGGTGACCCCCAACCATAAAATTATTTTTGTTGCTACCTCATAACTAATTTTGCTACTGTTAATGAATCGTAATGTAAATATCTGTGTTTTCCGATGGTCTTATGTTGAGAACCGCTGCTGTAGAGCCTAAGACCATCGGAAAACACATATTTACATTATGATTCATTAACAGTAGCAAAATTACAGTTATGAAGTAGCAACAAAAATAATGTTATGGTTGGGGGTCACCACAACATGAGGAGCTGTATTAAAGGGTCGCGGCATTAGGAAGGTTGAGAAACGCTGGTCTAGAGGGAGTGTGGCTAGTGCACAAGTAATTCCCGTCCCTCTCTCAGGCGTGGAGCCACCACAGGGACATTCACCTGTGGACGCTTCTCAGATTGGTGGGGTGGTTATTCCCATTCCATAGAGGAAGCAACAGTCAAGGTGACATGGGTCCGAGTGAGAAGGCTGAAGGGTCACTTTTTGTCTTGTCAGTGGGCTCTCCATGCTCCAAATCCCAGCGTTATCCTTGATGCCCCCTCTCTCCTTCCCCTCCCCCAACACCAAGCCCTACCAAGTTTGTCTTTTAAATTTGTTTCAAGGTCATTACCCCCAGGAGGGAAAATCAGTCAGACTAGATGAAGTTGCCCACTGCCCTAACCCTAACCCAAGTTCACGGCACCATCATTTTGCAACCAGTTCACACGATAACGTTCACCCCACTCTGCCTCACAATCTAACAATCAATGTACTTTTGGAAAAGTCTAAGACTAGTCACGTCTCCTCCGCATCAGATGCAGGGGCTGCGGCCAGGTCAGAAGTCAGGGACAGAGGGGGCGACTAGGGAGTGAGATGTCACACTGACGAGGTGTGGAACAAGGTTTCGAGATTGACTGGTGCGACTACACACTGAATATAAAAAGTCGAGTTTCATCGTTGAGGCTGTCATTTCGTAGTTAGGTTTAGATAGGATAAGAACTCTCTTAAGTGGCTTTTAAAGGCACCTCGCCTCAGATGTGGACTCAGTCCTACAGAACAGAACTCACCTTCTCCAGTAGCTCTTTTCGGTGTGTCAGCATCTACATTGAGCCTCTGTGGGGTGGTGTGATTGCACTTGTCCTAAATTTCAGAAAGTGTGCTTTTTTACCTTTTTATTTCAGACTGTCTCCAGCATCCACAGGAGTAGAGCAGTGTAATGGACCTCGAGCCCATTCATCCGTGTTCACAATGATCCACTGAGTGCCAATCCTGTTGTATACGCACCCCTCCCACCTCCGCCCCCGTTATTTTGAAGCAAACCCCAGAGGCCGTGTGGCTTTCTCTGTGAGCAGCAAATGTGTTCTTAGTGCCGATTCCAGCGTTGCGTAGACGCCTGCCACATTTGTCACGGGAAGGCTCCTGTGAAAAGCTACGAAGTCACAGTTCATGAGAAACCTGGGGAATGGGGAGTTCTGATTGATCAGATTTTTCTGTTTCACCGAATTATTAGCTAGAAAACCGTTATTGTTTAAAAAGAGGGGAAGGCTTTCTAAGATAAGCGTCTACTTTCCTGCCTTAATGGGTATGGTACAGCCAACAATCTAATCTCTTCATCTCGTCTGACTGATTTTCGCTCCTGGGGGAAGTGACCCAACAGGGCTAGTTGTTTCCATTACAGATTTGTGGTGGCAGCGGCGCCTGGGTGACAGGGATTACAGTCTTTCCCACCTGCCCCTCACCTGCTTCTGAAGCCCACGCTCCAACCCGTCGGTGTCTTCTGAGTCCCCAGCCCTCCCGTCAGTGTAACTGAACGGCCCATACTGTGTGCATACTGTACCTTCGCCCCCAACACCCGCCACGAGTTTACCCAATTTTTTGCTCTTTCCTCCAGTCTTTGATCAAGGAGTGTGAGCTGCAAGTGGAATCTGCACTCAGCTCAGGGAACCCAACAGGGCCTGTACTGGAGACACAACAAAACCTGTGAGTGATGGGGTAAGCAAGGGGGGCGTGAGGAAGGGCAGGAACCAGGCCTGGAAGGGGATCAGGAGTGTCCCCGTGGTAGGCGACACCTGAGCAGGACAAGCAGGGTGAGCCAGGCAAAGGGGGGAAAGCCCACAGGAGAGCACTTCCCACGGCAGAAAGGGTCACAAATCCAACCCCCCAAGCACGCAGCCCGGTGGGTCCCCAGCTCCCCACTGGGGCTTTTTCTTGCGTTATCACATCTGTCCCTTCAAAAGTTATCTCTTTCCCCCTCTTCCATTTGACTCATTCCTCTCCGCTCACACGTTTCTTCCGAGTCTCTCTACTCTGAACCAGCCTTTCATTGACTTTCAATCTCGCCTGCCCAAACTCAGACATCCCCAAACCTGCATCTCGATTCCCCACTGCTCAAGACACAAAGTCAGACATCACCCTCACTTCTTCCTTTTCTTTACTTTCTGCCTTTAGTCAATGTTGCCTCCAAAATAATCACAGGCCCAGCGCTCCTCCCACTGCACTGCCATCACAGTAACCCGGAAGCTGTCGCCTCATGGCCCGGCTGGGTGACAGCACCATCCTCCAGGTTTCCCCCTTTGCTGCCGCCCATTGTCGCCACAGAGCTGGAGTCAGCTTTTTATTTATTATTATTATTTTTTTAATTTTTTAATATCTCAGTGACAGACTTTATTGAATAAACAATGGCAACATCAGTTGAGGAGTCACCTGTCTCACTGGCTGTGTCACGACCTAAGGTCGAGTTGCCACAGCTGGGACAGCATGTCCTTCCTCTCTTCAGATCACGTGTGGAGGCGGACCCCCACAAATGGCAGGATGGGGGGCTGAGCATCAGGCTGCCTCAGGCCAGGCTCTGGTGGAGTCAGCTTTTTAAAGTCCCTGAAGATGCACTGTGTTCTTCCCCTGCTTTCACTTCCAGTGGCTTCCTGTTGCATTTAGATGAAAACCCAAACTCTACCATCTTCTCTGGCTGCTTTGGGGCAGCGACAACCTGTCAACCAGAAAGACTTCATCTGTAAAATGTGGCTAACGATACACCTCCCCCACTGGGTTGCTGTAAGGATGAAATGGCCCTGAACCTATCATGTTAGCTACTTACCGTGTTTCCCCGAAAATAAGACATCCTCCGAAAATAAGACCTACTTACAGGTTTCCTTCTGAGTGAAATATAAGGCATCCCCCCGAAAATAAGGCCCCCCTAGGCTAAACATGAGAGATTTGGTCCACTGATTCTGAAAGAAATGAGGTCACAAGAAATTCACCAGGAAATTCAGGAATTGGATTGTTATGATGATGTTCCAGAAGATGATGACATGATTGTCATTGAATAAATGAGTAAATTCTTGATACTGTAGGATTCACAGTTTGTCTGGTTTGTGTTGACAACTACCGTACTACTGTACTGTATACAGGTAATAAATTTCCTTTATTTTCATTTAACAATAAATGTGTACCGTATTCTTCTTCATGGAAAAATAAGACATCCCCTGAAAATAAGACCTAGCGCATCTTTGGGAGCAAAGATTAATATAAGACACTCTTATTTTCGGGGAAACAGGGTAGCTATTCATCACCTCTCTTCCCTGCCTTCTTCCCCATTCCCAACAAATCATACCTTCTTCCAAATTTCTCAGCTATTTTTAAAAATATGTTTTTATTGCCGAAACCGGTTTGGCTCAGTGGATAGAGCGTCGGCCTGCAGATGGAAGGGTCCCGGGTTCAATTCCGGTCAAGGGCATGTACCTTGATTGCGGGCACATCCCCAGTCGGGGGGGTGTAACAGGCAGCTGATCCCCTACTGGGGATTGAGTCCACAGCCTGGGCATGTGCCCTTGATCAGAATCAAACCCAGGACCCTTCAGTTTGCAGGCCAATCTATCCGCTGAGCCAAACCAGCAAGGGCCAAATTTCTCAGATTTTATTAACATCACAGCCAAGTATATTCTCCTTTTTAATATCCTGGAGTCCTTCTGATTCTTATTTCCTGACAGCATCCTGCCTGCCCCCCTTTAATTTTTATTTAAATTTATTGGGGTGACATTAGCCAACATGAACATGACTAGAAGGGTGGGTTTCTAGTCACTTCCCACTCCTTTTTCATTCATCAAATCCCGTGTTGTGAATTCTTCCTCTGAAATGTCGCTGACTGTAGTCCCATTCCATGCCGAGAACACAGCTGTACGGGTCAGGATTGAGTCTGTCCTAATAGTACCTTCCTCGACTCAGGGCTAAACTGTCAGGAAAGAGCTTTCAGCTTCCTAACACCTATCTCCTTTCAAACAATCTAATCTCTTAATCTCCTCCCAGCACTTCTTGCCCTACTACCTTGAAGAATGAAGCCCCAGTGGCAACCTCATC